GCGCTTCTCTGGAGTAACTGTAGCAACCCTTGCTCATGCATCGTGGTGCCTGTTGGTGTTTTGTTGTGAACTCAGGGAGGCGCTCGCAGCAAAGGACGCAACTGAAGCACTCCCCGAGTTCGAGATGGTTGACTCGCTGGTCCGCCAAGTGGCTGAGCATTTGGGGCGTTCTGGCCCGTGGCATCAGCCGTTTGTTGCGCTTCAGGAGGTTTTCACCGCCACGAACCTGGAGCTCCAAGGGATTCAAGTCCGGTGGCTCTTCAGGGGTGACGCCATTCTACGCGCGGTAGAGGTCTTCTCCGCGCTCATCATCATGCTGTACGAGTGGGACAGCAGTCTGTACGAGCTCGCCACCAGCTACAGGTTTCACTTCCTGTTATATTTCCTTGCCGACGTGCTCGAGCAGCTGAATGTCCTGAACAGGGCATTCCAGCAGCGAGAGGTGAGCAGGGTTACTTGCATGCCTGTGGAGAGCTTCTGATGCACCTCCCATGATGTCCCGTTTAGTTTTGAGTGGCTTAAGATTGCCTGTGTTAATGGATTAGTAGTGACCGCGGAAACATGCTGCCGCGCACAGACTTTGTGTACATTCTATCTGTTGTTCTGTCTCTTTGTGTTTCGTTTCTGTCCGCCCCTATTAGCTTGACATTGCAGGTGTACACGCGCAAATCCGAAGATCGATGTCTTACCTCGAGTCCCGCTATGTCGACTGTGGTGACGATTTCGGAGGCGGGATGAGCGCACGCTTGTCACCGTTCATCAAGAAGCACGGGCCTGAGGGTGGCTCCCCCGAGGTGAAGGTGCAGGGAGTGGACTCGGACGGTCGGCCGACTACACACACCTTCCAGCTGCACGAGGACCCATGCGAATATTACCCAACACTTGGAAGTCACGACGCGTACGTGGATATCTGCACCACGTTCACCGAAACGCTCGTGCGAAACCTCACCAACAGGTTCAAAGACCTGGACTCCCTTGTGGGAGTCAGGCTCGTCATGCCAGACGAGTGGGAGCTTGGGAGGGCGGAGCACCACAAACAATGTCTCGAGTGGCTTATGTCACTCGTGTCGCTGTTCAGGGCACAGGAGATGGACTACATCCTTCCAGGTAATCCTTTGAATTGACATGCGGTTTTTTCTTTGCATGTTGCGGGTGTATTGTGCACGGTTGTGCCATACCGTCTAATCCCATCTCTCTCTCTCTCCCTCCTGTCTATCTGGCAGGGATCGACAAGCGGCGGGCGATCAAGGAACTGCGTACCTTCTGTCCCATCCTCGCAGGTGCCCCGAAGAACGAGCGCAGCTTCCACGCCGGGCTTACAGCGATGCTGAAAACAAGTGACTGGACAACGAGCTACCCCAACCTGGTTCGCCTCTGGGTGGCTGTCGTCGTGCTGCCGCTGAGCACAGTGGAGTGTGAGCGCGGGTTTTCGCGCCAGAACCTGATCAAATCGTGGCAGCGGGGCAGTCTCAAAGACGCCCGCCTTGAAGACCTCATCACGTTGTCTCTACTGGAGTACGAGCCAGACTATGATGAAGTGGTGCAGATATGGCGCAGCTACAAGAAGCGCCACCCATTTGGCAATGTGGCAGCACCACCAGTAGGAGAGGGGGAGGGCACTGGAAAGGGAAAGGAGGCAGATGAGGAGTGGGAAGAAGCAGAGGCTAAGGGGAGTGACAGTGAGGAGGACGATGGTTAAAGAAACCCTCTCTTGCATATGCTAGCTATCTAGCATATTAGCTTTAGATAGAAGGCTGCTTGCTTGCTAGTGTTAATAAATATTTAAGGACCTCTCTAATAATAACAACAGCCTTTGGAAAAAATGAACACTGATGCATCATAGTTTTTTTTCCAGTAACACTGAACTTTCAGGTTGTTTTTTTGGAGACACTGTCGATCAGGGTTGCTACGCCGAGGGACCCTGATGCACTTACGTGCCTAAAAGTCAATCTGAGGGCCTGTATACGGTGTTGATTAACCAACTTCGACCAAAATTTGTTCGTGCCTTCGTTATTGTGAAAGGAAAAGCATAAAAATGGGACATTTTATACTACGTAAAATGCCTGAAATAGTACCGTATGAGACATAGCTTGTCAAGATTGATCGTGGAAGTCAATAAGCCCTTTATAAATTGTTACAAGATATGTTTTCTATGTTTTGAACAGACTATTTCTTTTGTTAATGTTAGGTTCTGCTGAGGTGCTGAGGTTCGGGCTTTGGTAGGGCCACATGATTGGATTGGCTCGTCATCCATCCGACGTGTATGCCTTCGTGGCATTCTTGCCCACTAACAGCAAACCTGAGGCTGCATTGGTTTGGCGATATCCACGTGAAACGACTTAGTGTTCTCTTCCGTGCGTTTCGACTGGACATCAGTACCATATGATTTCTGCGATTATTTCGACTCTGAATCGCAGCCGTTCCCGAGCCTTTTTCGGTGTATCGACGGTCCTCTTTACTTGTCCAAGCCAAACCTGGTTCGCCAGTGGGTCTTGGTGAAGACCATTTTTTTTTCCCCATTTTCTTCTGCTCTCATTTGCACTTCTCTGTTCCGACAAGATCTGGGCACGCTGCTGCTATGGCGTCCGCCACTTTCCAGGCTACCCTGCCCTCAACTGCTGTTGCCAAGCTTGGCGGCCAGCGTGCCTCGAAACTCTCTTCCCAGGTAGAGATACTGGAGCGCATCTATCGTCTAATCGAGTTATCCATACTGCGGGATTAAGCTTTTCTCTCATCGTGCTTGGCAGATCGTTGGGGTTCCCGTTTGCGGGTCCCTTGCTGGCAACAATGAGCTGAAGGCTAATGTCAGGTCCTTCGTTAGGGTTCAGGGCCGCAAGGTAACAAAATCTCCCATAGCCTAGTTCTATACATACTATTTATTCGATCGTTCTGGAGCTGCCACTAACGACTGACGCTATTGGTTCCCAGGTTGGTGGCTTTTCCGTGCAAGCCCTCGCACAGCGAGCAGAGTACATCTGGATGGATGGCCTTGAAGGTACCAAGGGCCTTAAGTTCAACGAGATGCGCTCGAAGACCAAGGTGCTTCAGGACCCTCGTGAAATCGGATCCCTTAACTTCCCCGAGTGGTCCTTCGATGGCTCTAGGTGAGCCTTAAAATCATCCGCATGTCTTGTCGCGTTTTAGCATTCAGATTCAGATCCTCAGCTTGAAATGTGTTTCTTTACAATACAGCACTGGTCAAGCCGAGGGCCACAGCTCCGACTGCATCCTTCGCCCTGTGTTCACTTGCCCGGATCCCATCCGCGGTGGCAACGATGTGCTTGTCCTCTGCGAAGTGTTGAACCCTGACAGCACCCCTCACGCGACCAACACTCGCCGCAAGCTCAATGATCTTATTAACCCCGAGATTCTGGAGGCCGATACCTGGTTCGGTTTCGAGCAGGAGTACACCATGTTCGGCAGGACCGGTCGTGTCTACGGCTGGCCCGAGATTGGCTACCCCGATCCTCAGGTAATGTTACTTCAATTGCTTGCTGTACCCTTTTGAGTTCCTTGGGGTACTGCTGTTCTGACGTCCTTGTTTGCGTTCATTTCAGGGTCCTTTCTACTGCGGTGTTGGTCTGGAGGCCGTCTATGGTCGTCCTCTGGCTGAGGCACACATGGATGCGTGCATTAAGGTACAAAAACGCACCTGCTTGTTTATTACCTAATGCTGGTTTGAGATCCACCCCCTAATGCTAAAGATTCTGTAACCCCCTGGTTATGCGTTTCAGTCCGGTCTGAAGATTAGCGGTATCAACGCCGAGGTCATGCCCGGACAGTGGGAGTTCCAGATTGGTCCTGCCGGTCCTCTCGAGGTCGGCGACCACGTCATGATCGCCCGGTGGCTCCTTAACAGGTGTGCTCTTGTCTCTTGCTAGTCGTAGAAGCTAAGAGTACCTTCCCAAGTCGTCGCGAGACTTACTGGGTTTGCATGACTTCCAGGCTTGGTGAGGACTTCGGCATTGTCATAACTCTCGACCCCAAGCCCATGCAAGGAGACTGGAACGGCACTGGCGCACACACCAACTACTCTACCAAGGCCATGCGTGAGGAAGGTGGCATGAAGGTCAGTACGGTTCCAGCAGGGATTTGTCTGAGTTCATTTGGGAAAGAAACCTAACACTTCACATGTCTTAAACTGATCAGGCTATCGAGGAAGCTGTTGAGAAGCTGTCGAAGAGGCATTATGAGCACATCTCCAACTACGGCCTTGGCAACGAGAAGAGGCTGACTGGCAAGCACGAGACTGCCAACATCAACACTTTCAGGTGAGTGTCTTTCTGTTGCGTTCATACATCTTCTGCCAAGTTCTGAGAATTGTTATAACGACTGCAATGTTCTGCTTTGCAGGTCTGGTGTTGCTGACCGCGGTTCCTCTATTCGTATCCCTCTGGGTGTTGCCCTGGAGGGTAAGGGTTACCTCGAGGACAGGCGTCCTGCTGCCAACGCTGATCCCTATGTGATTGCTCGTCTCCTCATCCAGACCACCCTTACGTAAACATGACGCTGTAACCCATTCTGGATGGATACATTTTTGATAGTTTTTTTTGCCAGAATTTTGAATTCGGGATGAGTGAGTGAAAGAACCACATCCAAAGCCACAATGAATAAAATAGTGACTAAACTAAAATGAGGGATGGTTTGAACTGCATAAACGTAAACCAGACGTACCAGATCGCATAGCAGCATCAATGACTGCTAGGGATGTGTGTATGGCACTGAGTGCTACGCGGCTGTTTTCGTATGACATGGTGTTTTAGTTCAAACTTGTTTTACGGAATTCTGACAACATGACGTTTGTCACAACGTTGTGTGCCGCCCCGGTTCTTTGTCATCGGCAAAACTAAGTACGGTACATGGCGTTCAAATAAAAGCTTCTGAACCTCCCAGGGCCAAATGTGGACCCTCGCCTTCGGCCCCTAACCACCACGCAACTTCCCTTGTTTCTACCTGGTGACATAAATACTGCAACTCAGGAGCAGTCGACACACAGAACGCTAATCCCAGGAGAGGTCCTGGAAGGGGCTGGCGGCCAGGCTGTCATCGACCACGGAGTTGCTGCGGCCTTTGCCGCGCCGCCTCTCCATCGTGGCCATGCGCACCAACCCGAAGCCCCCCCCCTTGCTGCTCGCCTTGCCCTCACCTGCCTCCCTGTCGCCCATAGCACCCCCCTCCGCTGCGCCCGGGCGCAACAGCAGTGAGCTGAGAATGCCGCCCGCACCGCCCGTGCTGCCAGCGCCGCTGCTGCGCTGCCTCCTGTGCCGCGCCTCCACGCCGCTGCTCGACCGCGTGAATGCCCTGCTCGCCTCACTTCGCCCCTCCTCCCCCGGCTCCCCCTGGTCCCCCGCCCCCATGCCGCTCGTCAGCCACCCCATGCCTGCAGCACCCCCACTGCCGCTGCTGCTGCCGCCTCCACTCCTCTCCCGCCGGTGCCTCGCCTCCACTCCACTGGCCGACCGAACCAGACCCCTTCGAGGGTTGTGAGCATCCACGCGTGCCGGCCCTGCTGCTGCCGCTGCGGGTGGTGGTGGTGGTGGTGCTTTTGGGAGCGGGGAGTTGTCAAAGGGGCCCATGGCGATGGCGGAGGAGGCAGCGACGCCAACACTGCCAGTGGCGCCGATGCTCATGCCGCCGCCCGCACTGCGGTTGCGGCAGTGCCTCGGCTCCACCCCACTGGCCGACCGCACCAGCACCCTCCTCGCCTCCCTCCCACCCATCTGCACCGCACCCCCCACACCTGCCCCACTGCTCTGCCCTCCTGCCTCTGCCTGCCTCTCTGCATGCCAAGCACTGCTGCTGTTGCCACCGCGCCTGCTGCTGCTGCTACTAGTGCTGCTCTCGTGCAGAGTGCTCGCCCGCAGCAGCATCACGCCCCCCTCCTCCTCGCCTCCTCCTCCACTCCCCTCTCTCCCCGGCGACCCCCCCACGCGCCCTGCCCCCCTCCCTGCTCCCCACGCGCCCAGGCGCGCAGGGCTGCGGGCGGAGGCAGGGGGGGCGGGGCGGGAGACGGGGCGGGCGAGGGGCACGGGGGAGCCGGAGGGGGAGGCGGAGGAGGAAGAGGCGTCGAGGCTGCGATGGCGCGAGTGGGAGGCGAGGCGCAGCAGCGAGTGCATGGAAGGGGCCACACACCGCACAGTGGCCTCGCGAGGACTCTCTTCCCCCACCTCCTCGCCCCCGCCCTCCCACGCCGGCCCCCCTGCTACCCCCATCAACCCCCCAGCCCCCCGTGCCAGTCCGTCCCTGCCCACGCCCCCCCTGCCCACTCCGCCCTGCAGAACTATCCCCCGCCCCTCCCACCTCCCCCTCCCCCCCCCCTCCCCCCCCGCCCCTCCCCAAGCGCCCGTGCCCTGCCGCCCACACGTGCTCGATGCTGCTGCGCTCTCCGCCCTCCCCTGTCCTCTTCACTCTCGCTTCCTGACCCACTCCCACTGCCCTTCTCGCTCCCACTGCCCTTCTCGCTCCCACTCCCACTCTCGCTCCCACTCTCACTTGCACTCTCGCTCTCACTCTCCTCATCTCGCCTTCTCGCCCTGCCTTCCCTCGCCTGCCCGCCCATCCTCCTCGCTCCGCCGTGCCTCTCTCGGCTCTGCTCCCTGGGGTCCCTTCCCCCCCCGCCCCGCCTCTCCCCCGTGCCCGCCCTCACGCGCGGCCCATCGCCCTCCTCGCTGCTCTCCTGCACCAGACCCAGCGGCCTCTGCTGCAACGGGCAGGGCGGTGGGGGGGGGGGGGGGGGGGGGGGGTTCACGGGATGTTGGGAACAGGCAGACGAAAAAGACTCAAACGGCGGCAAGAACGCGTGGGCATGCCATCTCTCCCTAACTGCACCCCTGCGCCACGCTGCTGCGCCCTTGCCTGCATGCCCTGCCCCAACTGCACCACTCCCTGCATCTGCCGGCTCTCTCTCTCTCATCCCATTTATCCCCCATTGCCCCTCTCTCGCGCTTTGCCCCGCCCGCCTGCCCACCCGCGGCACCCCAGCGCCCTGCGCGGCTCACCTGGCTGGCCTCCGCGCGTTCGGGACTGAGCGACCGCTGCGACCCCGGGGACGCCCACCCGTACCCTCCGCCCGCCGCCGCGCCCATGCCCCCTCCGCCCGCTCCTGCCCCTGCCCCTGCCCACGCGCCTATCCCTGCATGTGGGCTCGGGTGCGCGCTGTAGGGGGGGGCGGGCGGGGGCAGCTCTCGGTTGCGCAGGGAGGAGGGGGAGGGGCCTCCGACGGACGAGGAGCGCAGGAAGGGCGGGGCGAAGGCGGCTCTGGGGGAGGCTTCATCTGCCTGCGTCCACGCCGCCCACCCGCGGGCGCTGTGGTTGCTGCTGGGGGGAGGACGGCCGAATGGGGAGGACGACGCGGGGAGGGACGGCGGCGGCTGCTTTTGGGAGACAGGGAGGGGGGCGGAGGGGGAGCAAGGGTCGTCCGCTGCTGCCCATGGGACGGGGGGGCGGGGGAATGCGCTGGCGGCGCTGCTAGCGGGCGGGGAGGCGTCGAGCGGGTTGAGGGCGAGCGGCGCCCTGTTGGCTCTCGCGCGCGGCCGCAGCTCCATCGACATGGCGCGCCGGAACCCCCTCCGCCCTCCCAACCCACCACCCCCGCCGCTGCCAGCGACGCCCGCAGGAGCGGCGGCCTCCGCCGCGTTCCCCTGCGTCTGCGTGACACTCGTGCTGCGCCCAAACCCGGCCCTCACGGGCGGCTTGCTGCTGGCCGCGGGAGGCGCAACAAACGGCCCAGGCGCGCGGGACGGAGTCCCCATGGCCCCTGCGCTTCCGCTCGTGGCGCGACCCGAAGGCGCAGCGCCCCCGCCGCCACCGCGCACTTCGTCGTCCGCCCTGCCGCCACCCGCAGTTCCGCCGCAACGGCTGCCGCCGCCGCCCATGCTCGCTCCGCTTCCGGAGCCCCCACCGCTGCTGAAGGGCCCGTTGAAGGTCGCCCCCACACAGTCCCCCGCCACGCGCCGGTCTCTTGCGCCCGCCGCGCCCACAGGCGCGGAAGCAGGCGGGCACTTGGGCACGGGCGACGACGTCGTGCGCCTAAACTCGCGCACTGCGCGCGGTTGATACTCCGCCGCCCCCCCTCCCCCTCCTCCTGCGGCTGCTCCATTCGCCGCAGAGCGACCGCCTTCCCAGTCGCTACTGCCGCCCTCCCATTCGCTACTGCCACCCTCATAATCTGCGCCCGGTCTCCCCCCGTACCCCTGACCCTCCGCCCCTTCTGGCGGCGACGGCGGCGCTGCTACGGCGGGGGGAGGGGAGGAAGGGCGGTCGGGGGAGAGGTCGTCGCCGTAATCAAATCCCTGCGGCGGTAGGCGGGGGGTGGGGGGGAGGAGGTAAGGGAGAGGGGAAGGTCGGGAGGGAGAGCAACGGCGGTAGGGTTAGGCGAGTGAGGAGGGGCGTTGAAGCAACGAGGCGCAGTTCTAAAGAGGCGTGACGGCCCTCGGAGTTCGTTTCAGAGGCAACGCCCGGCGCAGGAGTAGCGCGGGTGGAGGGGGATGAATGGTGCGTTTAGGGTATGCGTGGAACGGAATGGGGATGGCTAGTAGGGAATGGTGGGTACCGGCGGGGGATGGTTAGCAGGGAATGGTGCGTACCGGCGGGGGATGGTTATGAATGGTGCGTACCGGCGGGGGGAGCGGCACGTCGTCAGCGAGAACGGTGCCGAACATTTCGATCTGTCGCTGTCGCTCTCTCTCCTCCTCCTCCTCCGATCGCACCGTCCTACGCATCTGCTGCTGCTGCTGCTGCTGCTGCTGCACATGCTGCACCTCCCGCTGCTGTTCCTGCTGTTGCTGTGCTTTCAGCGCGGCAGCGCGACTGGGTAGCGACACGGTTCGCAGCAGAGACGGTGCGGCGTTTGATTCCCGAACCTGCGCTGACGAACCTGCAGCAGAGCCCCGGCGGGAGGTTTGTGCGGATGTGTTGGAATTGGACGAACCGAAGAATGAACCCATTTTGGTCCATCCGCGAAACTTCCTCTGCTGCTGCTGTTGCTGCTGCTGCTGGCTGTTCTGCAAGCCGTAAAGGGCGGCGAAGGACCGCTCGAGGCTGATAGTTCGGGGAAGCTCGTCCGGCATGCCGCCATCGTCTGCCGCGTCGTACGGCGACGCGTAAATCGACATGAGCAGCCTAGGAGATCGTGCAAGCGTGAATTCTACTTGAAGGAGTCTGAGGAACCAAGGAATGGGATGCGAGACTGGACCAATAAGTAAGACAATACATTGCTTAGAATAAATAACACGATAATGCTCCTTTAGGGCCAATCAGTGTGGCTCCTGTAAACCACTCTCGCTAAGAACTGACAGGTTCGTAGTTTCGCCTTCTGCAGCTGAGTGACGGAATAAAGCAAGCAATCCTACGAGATGAAGTTGTGGTGTGGTTGATGACGCCTGGCTCTGCTGGAGTCACACAAATGAGCTGGCAACATCCAACCGAACCTAGGCAAGGCACGGCAAGTTCAAGGAATCAAGGTCCACTACTACAGTGCTGTACACTAGTCCCCTTGAGGTTGTCACATGGCACACACCTCAGGCATGGTTGGTTGTTGGTTGATTGGTTGGTTGGGGGGCTTCGGCGCGATTGACGGAAGGAGCTGTGGCCTCGCCTCATCTACAACCGCACCTCGTCCGTTGGCTCTTGTTCCGAGGCAGCGGACCTCTCCCGAATCTTGTCTCTGAAGCGCGGGTATTATAGGAACCATCTGCGATGTGTACACAACGAAAATGAATACACTAACGAATGTTGCTATCGGTTTAGGGATCAGGTTACTCACATTTGCGCCGTTGGATCGATTTAATCCTGAGATCTACGACACATGGACAGCTTTCCCGCCATCACTCTAATGGGGGGTCTCCCGCACGAAGAATCCAGAACCGCTTCAAACCGGCAGTTTTCGTGCAAGCCAAGGGATGATACCCTGTTGGCGAACAGATATCCATTCGTCAACATCCAGCCTTACAAAAGTGACGCGCGATAATACCTACCTCGTTTTGACGAAAATACCCAGCTCCGACAATGTTCGTACGCGGTGACGAAGCCCAGTTTCCAGTCACCACTAAGTTCGCCAATTCGCAACAACATGAGAGTTGGGCTTCACCTTCTGGCCACCACTGTCGCTTTTCTCTACCCTCTACCGCCGCTTCTGTCAGACTTAGCCCAAAATCTTCATTTCCCTCCTAACTAATTTCCCTACAGCCGCCTCCGGGGTACTAGAACGGCTCCGTTTGATAGCACGCTTCGGGAAGCGAACCGCGCCGGTTGAATTGGCGGCCATTCTTGGCCACGTCACTGGATTTCCAAAAGTTGTGTTTCCACCTGTGTTTCTTGCTGGCCATTCAAACAGCCGAGGTGTCACAAACTGAGGACAGGATGGTATATCCTTTACAGATGGTATATTCCACATAAGGCGGTCCAATCAAAAGCTGGAGTTTGTGTTGTCGGCGGATTTGTTTCGATTAACCACACTCCAGCGTGGCACGTTTGGGACCACCATCAACGCCACCAAGGCATATTCACCATAGATTATTTTCACCCTGTTAGGCGTCGTTAGGTTGGGATCCCAACAATCCGCATTCAGGCAGGACACGCTTTCTGCAGATCCATTCAAAATCTCGGCTATTCTTCTCTAGTTTTAGTTCGTTTCCTCAGCATCCTTTTCATTCTTGTCAAACAAGCTTAATGTTCGTCCACTCTACCGGTTTGGAACGATCGTCATCACTTCACGTCGCCACAAGTCAGCCTGTTCTGGATCGCTTGGTTAGATCGCCGAGCTCCATGACTTCTCGACCTTAGATACACGTCTCCACTTCGTCTTCAACGTCAGGTAGAACAACCAGCCGTCTTTCTTTCTCGTTTTTTGCTTTACTTTCTTGCATGCTTTGCTTATTTCCGTTTACTAACTTCAGTTTTCTTTATACTTGCAGGTTTGCATGGAGCCTCTTGTGCGTACTTCAGAAGGGATTGGACGAGCAACCGCCTTCATCAACCTTCCGAGCTTCATGGCCTGCAGCAAAGGACAGCTCCACGATTAGCTTCACGGTGAAGGTTGAGCTATCACCCCGTACACCCCACAGAGCCACCCCCCCTGGTCCAGGTTCGGTACAGGTGAGGTAGGTGTGGTACAGGTCCCTTCAAGGTTTTTTTTCTTGTTGGTAACTGGCTCTGTGGTGGTGTGGTAAGTATACTTTAAGTTCCGTTTTTGCATCCTTTGTTAATTCTGTTTACTAACATTCGCTTGTTCATACTTGCAGGTTTGCATGGAGGCTATTGGGCGTACTTCAGAAGGCATTGAACGAGCAACCGCCATCATCAACCTTCCGAGCTTCATGGCCTGCAGCAAAGGACAGCTCCACGAATTAGCTTCACGGTGAAGGTTGAGGTATCACCCCGTACACCCCACAGAGCCACCCCCCCTGGTCCAGGTGAGGTAGGTGTGGTACAGGTCCCTTTAAGGTTTTTTTTCTGGTTGGTAACTGGCTCTGTGGTGGTGTGGTAAGTATACTTTAAGTTCCGTTTTTGCATCCTTTGTTAATTCTGTTTACTAACATTCGCTTGTTCATACTTGCAGGTTTGCATGGAGGCTATTGGGCGTACTTCAGAAGGCATTGAACGAGCAACCGCCTTCATCAACCTTCCGAGCTTCATGGCCTGCAGCAAAGGACAGCTCCACGAATTAGCTTCACGGTGAAGGTTGAGGTATCACCCCGTACACCCCACAGAGCCATCCCCCCTGGTCCAGGTTCGGTACAGGTGAGGTAGGTGTGGTACCTTTTAAGGTTTTTTTTTTTTTTTTTTTTTTTTTTTTTTTCGGTAACCGGCTCTGTGGTGGTGTGGTAAGTATACTTTGAGTTCCGTTTTTGTATCCTTAGTTAATTCAGTTTACTAACATTCTCTTGTTCATACTTGCAGGTTTTATTCAAGGCCCTTGTGCCGCACTGCTAAGCTCCAAGGCGGGGTGAACGTACCTGCCAACACCACTGGCAGGCGCCTCCTCTCTCTCCACCAGCAGTAAGTGCCGTCTCTCTGGACTTTACCCCTCATCTCTTGCTTTCTGTTGGTTGGTGATTCTGAAGTTACTTGATTTACTAACTTGGTTTTATTTTTACTTTGTGTGGCAGGTTGCTCAACCAAGGGGCCTTCAGCATGTCCAACATCCATGGGAGCACCATGGTCTGCTGAGGCGCCTCAAGGCTCAAGCATGGCGAGATAAGCTGCTTACTCCACAGTGAAGGTTGAGGTATCAACCCCACAGAGCCACCCCCCCTGGTCCAGGTTCGGTACAGGTGAGGTAGGTGTGGTACAGGTCCCTTTTAAGGTATTTTGTCTGGTTGGTAACCGGCTCTGTGGTGGTGTGGTAAGTATCCTTTGAGCTCCGTTTTTGTATCCTTAGTTAATTCAGTTTACTAACATTCTCTTGTTCATACTTGCAGGTTTTATTCAAGGCCCTTGTGCCGCACTGCTAAGCTCCAAGGCGGGGTGAACGTACCTGCCAACACCACTGGCAGGCGCCTCCTCTCTCTCCACCAGCAGTAAGTGCCGTCTCTCTGGACTTTACCCCTCATCTCTTGCTTTCTGCTGGTTGGTGATTCTGAAGTTACTTGATTTACTAACTTGGTTTTATTTTTACTTTGTGTGGCAGGTTGCTCAACCAAGGGGCCTTCAGCATGTCCAACATCCATGGGAGCACCAGGGCCTGCTGAGGCGCCTCAAGGCTCAAGCTTTGCGAGATAAGTTGTTTTTTTTTTTTACTTCACCTCTTGCTGAGTTTGCTGCTCATTCCCGTTTGCTTCCACGCTGCTGATTCCTTTGCTTTATTTAAGTTGATCCCGTTCGCTTACTTGGTTTGTTTACCTCGTGGCAGGTTCTCTCCAATGGCTCTCTGCACGCCCATGAAGCCCCAAGTCCTTGGCGCACTGCTCAACACCTCCAACTTCCCAACTACAGATAAGTCTCAGCCCTTGGCGCCCAGTCAGTTTCGCTGAATCGTTTTTTTCTGAATTTGTGTTCGTCATTTTGCTTTGACGCATGCTGGTACCTCCTTGCTGTTGTTTAAGAGCCTGGACTTTTTTTTTCTTTCTTACCATGCAGGTGCCTTCATGGGCAGCAATCAAGGCATTGAAGGTTGAAGGCAGTGCATGAGAGAGGGTGGACCCATGAGCATTGGCTAAGCACTCGAATCCGGGCCAAACCGGACTGGTTCTGTCCCCCTCCGCCCCCGCCAAGTGCCAACACTGTCTGGCCAGCAGTTGTTGTCATTTGGTGGAGGTGGGGGTGGGCAGAGCTAGTCCCTAGTAGGGCTCCCGCACGTCTTGGGAGTAGCAATGCTCATGGCCCAGCCTTCCTCTCTGCCTGTTGTGCTGCCAGTTCATGCCGGGGTGGGCATGGATGGCATGCTGCTGCCACTAGAAGGGAGGTACTAGTACCTTCAGCTGGAATGCAACAGCTTGTTATGTCTAGGCAGGCAGTGAATATATGTCCCATATTAAGTGCACCTTATCATGATGAGCTTGCTGTTGTACACTTCCTACTTCCTAATGAAAATGCAAGGGTCTTGGTATGCAATGCAAGTATAGCTGAACGTTAAAGAGGAATTCCCCACATGAACATGACTCCTTTATTCAGATCAGGACCGTAAAGGGAGTCTAAGAGCGTATTCCTATCCTCGTATCAAGAAAACCTCATATCAAGATTGTACTTTTTGCCTGGTAAAAGTAGCGAGAGGTTTTGGGTTTAGGGGAATTTTCAGTGGGAGGTTGATATGAGGTTTTCTTGATACGAGGATAGGAATACGCTCTAAATGGAGGCAAACCACATTCAAGAAAATGAAATTGTGATTTGGATCGATACTAATTCTTGCATGTTTAATGCATCCACGCATCCCTCCCTCGCTCCATTCACTTCGCTCCTCTACTTCTCTCTATGTCTCGCCACTTTCTCAACAATCACTAGGTTCCTATTGGCTCCTATAACTGTGCCCCTCCCTGACCCAACGGGTCGAACAGTACCAGCTGGAAACATGGAAACCACGTGAAATATATGAAATAGAAAGGACAGGAATGGGAGCGCAAACATGGTAGCACAACGGCTGGAACCAAGAGCAGCCCATGCTGTAATAAGTCATGATATCTCAGCCAACGTGTGAAGGAAGGCAGACAAATGGAAGAGCAGAGGATGGATCAAGCAGGAAAGTGAACAGTTGGCAGCAGCATATGCAACAGCACATGCAGCAGCACAAGCAGCAGCACATGCAGTAGCACTGAGGAGAAGGTGGTGGGAGGGGATTGGTAGACTTAGCAAGGCGAATGAGAGTGATGAGGGGGAGGAAGAAGAGGCGGATGCACACACAAAGGAGGGAGGCGAGCAGGTGCGTGAGGGAGGGCATGAGGACACCTGCAGTCAGCACAAGCACACAGAAGAAGAAAGGTGAGGATGAGCTATGGATGGGAGAAACTAAGCAGAAGCGAGGTCAGAATGCAGGTCCTTCAAAGCAGGTCGTCTCAAAGGTAAGAGCACCAAGGTGGGTGGAGCGGAGATGAGAGAGCATAGCAGCGTGGAGGTATGGCAATTGAGCGCATGCGCGAAAGATGCAGCAGACTGGCCCTCTACAGGGCGGACCAGTGGGCAGAGATGCAGCAGACTGGCCCTCTACAGGGCGGACCAGTGGGCAGAGATGCAGCAGACTGGCCCTCTACAGGGCGGACCAGTGGGCAGAGATGCAGCAGACTGCCCTCTACAGGGCGGACCAGTGGGCAGAGATGCAGCAGACTGGCCCTCTACAGGGCGGACCAGTGGGCAGAGATGCAGCAGACTGGCCCTCTACAGGGCGGACCAGTGGGCAGAGATGCAGCAGACTGGCCCTCTACAGGGCGGACCAGTGGGCAGAGATGCAGCAGACTGGCCCTCTACAGGGCGGACCAGTGGGCAGAGATGCAGCAGACTGGCCCTCTACAGGGCGGACCAGTGGGCAGAGATGCAGCAGACTGGCCCTCTACAGGGCGGACCAGTGGGCAGAGATGCAGCAGACTGGCCCTCTACAGGGCGGACCAGTGGGCAGAGATGCAGCAGACTGGCCCTCTACAGGGCGGACCAGTGGGCAGAGATGCAGCAGACTGGCCCTCTACAGGGCGGACCAGTGGGCAGAGATGCAGCAGACTGGCCCTCTACAGGGCGGACCAGTGGGCAGAGATGCAGCAGACTGGCCCTCTACAGGGCGGACCAGTGGGCAGAGATGCAGCAGACTGGCCCTCTACAGGGCGGACCAGTGGGCAGAGATGCAGCAGACTGGCCCTCTACAGGGCGGACCAGTGGGCAGAGATGCAGCAGACTGGCCCTCTACAGGGCGGACCAGTGGGCAGAGATGCAGCAGACTGGCCCTCTACAGGGCGGACCAGTGGGCAGAGATGCAGCAGACTGGCCCTCTACAGGGCGGACCAGTGGGCAGAGATGCAGCAGACTGGCCCTCTACAGGGCGGACCAGTGGGCAGAGATGCAGCAGACTGGCCCTCTACAGGGCGGACCAGTGGGCAGAGATGCAGCAGACTGGCCCTCTACAGGGCGGACCAGTGGGCAGAGATGCAGCAGACTGGCGTGGGTTGTGAGCAGATTGGCTTGGCGAGGATCCGTTGAGTGTGTGGTGGGCCAGGAGGAGAGGCACATGGGCCAGAAGAGACGCCAGGGCGGCCCAGAGAGACACCTGCCTGCCCTCTGATCCACACTGCTGCTGCTGCAACTGGTGGCTGTGGTGGTGGTATGGCTGCTGGTTACGGCGGTGGCCGTACTGTTTGTTGTGGTGGTTGTGGTGGGTGAGTGAAGGGCCAGGGCCAGGCAGTGGCATGGGAGGAGGATGACGGGCCACGGGGAGGAGCACGGTGCTTGACTCAAATAGTCCAAGCTGTTGGTTAGCTCCGAGAAGAGTCAACGAGTGGTGCGAGCGAGCGGCGTTGAGGAGGGTGCCAAAAAGGGAAGCGGGAGGGTGGGGAGGAAGGCGGATAAGTGGGTGGGGGATAAAGATGAGAAGCACAAGGGGAGGGCAAACAAGGCAACGTAAGCATGTACCAATGGATGAAGACATATGTGAAGCTTCGACATGAACGCGAGCAGCTCAAAGCACAGTACATGAAATAGGAGAAAGGCAGGTGCACATTCAGGAACGGAACGAAGCAACATGGGGACAAGGGCAAGGGAGAAATGGAGGAGGTAGTACCTTTCCTGCCTGTCATACCTGTCATACCTGCTGCTGCTGCTGCTGCTGCTGCTGCTGCTGTAGCTGGCACTGCTGCTGGTGGCGACACATTTCCTTCAATCCCAGTGGTGGGCGTGGTACTGCTGGTGGTTGCGGCGTCAGCAGGAGCGTGGAGCAGCAGATTGGAGAGCGAGTAGAGCAGGGGGGCATCGACCGACCTCTATCACAGCAGCGCCCACCTCACCAGCCACTGCTGCTGCTACCACGTGCTGCCACTCGCCGCTCTCCGCCTCGCCACCCGCACCCACGAGGAAGAACCGCGCGTCCGACAAACCGTTCCGCTCCTCGCGCTCCTCTTGTTTACCCTCCACCCAGTACCCATCCATCTGCTGCTGCTGCTGTCGGCGCTGGGCTGCTGCAATGTGCTCCTTGATGCGCGCAATGACTGCGCGGACGGGCTCCGCCTCGCATGAATAGCTGCGCGCGAACGAGACGGAGCGCAGTACAGAGGCTACTTAAGATTGGCGCAAGGCGCGGCGCTACCACACCTGAAAATCGAGGGCAGGATAGTCAAACATGCAAGCAACCACACCTGACCCTGCTGCCTCACACCATACCTGTTAACCCTATCCTACATCCCATCCACACCAAATCATGTTACACAACGCACGGTCTCACCTGCCCGCGTGCGTGCTGCTCGCATTCTCCTCCGATTCGACGCGACCGCCGAGCTGGAGCCGCTGCTGACCAATGGCGAGCTGCCACGCGTCGTGCAGCAACCATCGCACGCAGAGCGTCTCGAGAAACGGCACCGCAGGGACGAGCGCGTCGGGCGTCATCCGGCACAGCTGACGTGAGCACGACGCCACGGCGTCGCAAGCCATCGCTCGACGGCGTCGCGATTGGATCCGGGCGGAAGGGGAAGGGGCAGCGGAAAGGACGCATGAGGGGAAAGCAGCGGCTAAGGCGGGCCGCGGCGTCCTCTCGCCGCTTCCACCCCAACCGCGGACACCCTTGTACGACTCTTCAAATTCGCCACTTCCGGGTCGTTCCTGGGTGTATATCGGCGACTGAACGTTGCCCCGTTCTCGTCGCCGTGTTTGCCGTTCAGTCCCATTGAGCTCCGGCTTCGGTCAGCTATAACCGGCGAGGAGAGACTGCCACAACGCTCAGGCTGTGATGTGTTTCAGAGAAACGCATGATCGAGACCTGACCCGTGCTTGACTCGATTCATGCGCCTCAAATGCACCGCTGCAATGCTCTCCGATAAGCTGCACCATTCGTGGTCGCACCAATTCAGCATTCTCGGATGAAATGAGAAAGGGAGTGGCCTGAATGAAAACTGGGAAACTGAGGTGTGGGAACAGAAGTCGGGCGAAAGGCTAGCAACGTCGCGAATGTATATTCGCCCAACAGGGATACAGCTCGCAAGCCCAATAGTCTTGTTTCGTCGCGGTGCTGTCTCGTTTGGATGAGGTGAGGAGAGATTTGTAGTTTGGAAAGGTATGGTGCGATAAATTCCACTGCTGCGCCATTGCCTTGAGTGTCGCTCTATTTTCCTGGCCTTCTTCTATTATTGGTCACACTCACAAGAGGATTGGCCAAGTCGACTCTGAGTGTGGCTCCACTGTAGGTCATCTCTAGCAGTAAACGAAATGAGAGTATCGGGAGAAATGAGCGATGAGACGAAAGCGACTGAGGTTGAGAGCGGGTCCCAAGGAGCACAGCGGCGAGGGTTCGATCCACCTTCCTTCCCCGCTGTCGCCGCTACGCGTCCTGTGGCGGTTCACGCGTTTCCGTCGGGCGGGTACGTGTGGGACGTGGCGGCGGCAGAGCAGGTTCGACTAGAGCACGGCATAGTAGGGACCATGGCGGGAGGCCTGCCGGGCTTCGCGCTTCAGAACAAGGTCAAGGGCCTGCCGCTGCTGCTCTCGCTGGAAGAGCTCGCCGCAGCAGCGACCATGGGCGTCGCAAGGCTGCAAGTGAACGGTAATGATCCCAATGTTGAATCAGAGACTGCGTTGTGCGCTAATCGCCAAAGAATCACCGCCTTAAACCAATCGCCGAATGCTTTCCGTGCACCTCCGAGTCCGTCCCCTGTAGCACAACCGGACCTTCGCCCTACTTCTTCACAAAGCTTCCAAGAGGGACCTCACCCGAACCCCTCTGGTTGCAAAGCCCTCCATCTACCGCCACCAACGGGTTCAGTAGCAGCGGCAGGCCTAGTCGCTTCCGTTGACCAGCGCGCTTCGCCTCTCGATTCCGCAGCAGTAGCGCATCTCAACTCGCATGCCGCAGCCCAAACACACGAGCCGCCACCGCCGCCGCAGCAGCAGCAGAATCTGGTGCTGCCTGCAGAATCTCACGCACCGCAGGCAAGCGAGAATATGGGGGAGCGTGGCACGGAGGAATGTGGAGGGTTGCACCGGATGGCTGCGTCTAGCTGCTCACACCCCTGCCTGCTCGCCTCTACCTGCCCTCACCAGCCGCCCTGCTCCGTGCCGCACACCCTCCACGCTGCCAGGGAGGCCTCGTTCAGCGAAAAGTTCCGGCTGCCCGTAACAGAGGGGGATGTGGAGGTAGCAGCGGAGTGGTTCGGCGCTTCAGGGCGTGGGGTGCAGCGGCAGAGGGATGGCAGTGATGCTCCAGCTGGGATTGGGGGATGCAGCGAAAGTGCCGCAGTGGATTGTTCTGAAGAGGAGGTCGCTGGTGGAGAGGAGAAGGGCAATGGTGGGGAAGATAGGAACCAAAGCAGAGGTCGATGCAAAGGAGCGAAAGACATTGGCAGAGAGTGGCATGATGATGACAGGGAAGGAGTGAGCAACGGCACGAGCGCCACATCCCCCAGCACTTGCTGCAATCATCATCCGCCGTCTTCCTCCTCCCTGCCCCTCACCCAACCGCATGCACGCACCTCCCTGCTCTCCATGCTCGCGTCTCTCCTCAACAGCAGCAGCGCCACCATGCGCCTGCGCTGCCTGGTCTACGCGGACCTGCTCGCCCGCTCCTGCCGCATGACGTGCGGGATGCGCTTCGGTGCGCATTGGCTGGTGTACCCGGGGGGCGCGGACCCCTGCGACCTGCACGCGCCCTGCATGCTGCGCGTGCAGCGGCAGCACGAGGGGTTCTCAGCGCAGCAGCTGCTGGCGGCTGCCCGCGTGGCCATGGTCTCCAGGAAGAGGCTTGTGCTCGCAACTGCCCCTGAGGAGGTGCTGCAGGGGGAAGGGTTCTGGGAGCGGTTTGTGGAGCGGTATGGGGTGGTGCAGGTGGAGCGGAGGGACGGGGAAGAGGGCGAGAGGCTGGTGAGAGGAGTACTGGAGGATGGGTTAGGGGGAGCGGAGCTGGAAGGGTTGGCGCAAGTGGGGGACGATGCGGGAGCAAAACATGAGGAGGTTGCCAGACTGATTCTCAAGGATGGAAGGGGTTCAGAGCAGGGAGGAGGAGAGGCTGGTGAGCGTGGGGCAGCAGAAAGCCGAGGCATGTGTGGGGGTGAGCAAGGGTGGGAGAAGCAGGAGAGGAAAGGGGGAGCGAGTGTGAGAGGAGAGGAGTGGGTGGAGTACACGACAGTGGTGACTGACCTGGACTTCCTGCCTCTAGAGCTGCGCACCCAGAACCCCCTCAAGGCCAAGATGCTGCAACAAGGACAGCAGGTCGGCACTCGAAGGAGCAGGAAATCTGGTGCTGTGTAACGATGGGGTTCTGTCTATGGGTGCTTGCTCACTGCCTGTCAGTTGAGGTACATCAATGTCTTGTCACGCAAGTTGAAATGCTGGCATGCACATGTCGTGTGGTCGTGATTCATTAATGCCCTCTGTCGGGATGACCATATTGAGTTTGGCATATGGAATGTATATCAAGTGCGGAAAGCCTTATTTCCTGGTTGGCCCTAAAGTGCCCTGTTGCTTCACATGTTCAATCCCCAACCACCCAGAGAGCATTTCTTCCCTAACCATAGTGGACGAGTGCAGGACAGCAGTGCCAATAACAATTCACAGATTCTCATGCTGCTACAAGTATAAACCATCCCACCCACCGCCCGGGAAGCAGGCCTGCTGCTGCCACTACTTTATGAGGAAGAGAGTTTTCTTCTTGACAGTCATGGAGGCGTGCATGATGGCGAGGTTCTGGCGCAGGTCGGAGTTGTGGGTACGCCTGCCACGCTGCTGCCCGCTCCATCTCCACCTGCTACTCTGCTGCCCGCCGCTTCACCCGCGCTGCTTCAGCTTCCTGGTCTGGGGCGTGGGGGTGGGTGTGAATTAGTGGGTGCAAATGGGTGGGTGGGATTAGGGGGGGGGTGCGAATGGGCCTCCATGCAGATAGGTGTGCGTTTTGCGGGGACCGACGCCACATGAGAGGGACGGTGTCAAATGCGCACAGGATGACATGAGTTGGGTTGAGTTGGGTTGAGTTGGGTTGGGTGGCTTCCTGCTAATCTCATCCGTCCAGCCCTGTGATCCTGTCTTCACTTCAGCGCCTGCACATACACACACATGCATGCACGCACCCACGCATGCACGCACACACACATTGTAAGTCGACTAAAAAAACATCCATCCAGCCCTGTTGGAGTCACTTTTGAGAATTCTCAAACGTGACCCTGTGACCCGGTGACCCTGTCTTCAGAGCCTGCACATCACACACTTACACCTCTCCCCACTCCCCCACTCCCCCAGTCCCCCACTCCCCAACTCCCCAACTCCCCCACTTCCCCACTCCCCCACTTCCCCAGCCCCCCAACTCCCCCACTCCCCGCCTCCCGTCCCAGGGGCGACAGTACCTGCGGAGCGCACAAGCAGCACGGAGTGGGGCGAGAGGCGGCATGGGCGGGCGTAGCAGTAGCAGGCGATGGGGACGAAGGAGAGCGCGCTGCCAGGGAAGAAGGAGAGGTCCGCTTGCATGGGGCCCGTGCCTCGTCCGCTGCTGCTGCCGCGCTCGCGATCTCCGTCGACAGGGAGAAGCTGAGGTGTGGGGAAGGCGTGAAGGGAAGGCAGTCGGAAGGGAAGGGAGGGGGAGCGGGGGAGAAAGGACCAGAAAGGAGTGGAACGGGGGTGAAAGGAAGAAGAGCTTGAAGCGACCGAACCGTGAAGGACGGATGCAAACGCGTACAGAACGGAGAGGAAGTCTAGTAACGCATACAGCGCGTGGAAGGCTAGTAACGCGTACAGCGGGTACTGGTGCACGTGGAAGGCGCTCTGGCCGATGGTGACGACGAGGTCGCTCGCCACCTACGCCCACTCCGGCTCGCTCTCGTGCGACAACAGCGACGCTCCCGCGTCGTCGCACGCCTCGTCGCCCATCGCGAGAGTCGTTGGAGCAGACGGAGGGGAGGCGCGTGGAAAAATGCGCGCGGAGCAAACGAAGGGGAGGCGCGCGGGGAAAATAGGCGCGGAGTGAACGGCGCGAAGGAACAGCGACGAGGCACGCGGGAGGGCGAACATGTAGCTGCTGCCTGTTGCTGTCTGCCGCTCTCTCTTGCTCTTTCCTGCTGTCTGATGCTGTGTCTGACGTTATTCGTTTGCAACACGCTGCAGAAGAACTAAAGCGGCTGAAACAACCACCCTTCGAACCAAGGTCGTTCGGACGAAGACCGTTGGACGCCAAGAGTTTTAACGGTCGCACTAGAGTGCGTCAAGTGAGTAACGAGTGAAAAGTGCGTCTAAAGTTGAGCCGTGAACGCACAAGGAAAGCATGGTGTGATGCTGCAAAGCGGAGGCAGTGACGACGATCCTGATCCACCCCCTTTGTATCTCTCTCTCTCTATCTCTCTCTATCACCACTATCCTGACAATTAATCCCCACTGCGCGGATCGCGCGACGAGGATAGGCAAGCCCTTCGTCAATAACGCCGCGTGAATCAAGGCTGGCAGAGCTCCGAAATGCGAGGAATGGATGAACGGCTCCGATAGTGCCGATCGAGGCCGCCCAGGCGGATTCTCTCGTCTGGAACGCGCAGATTCTGCAGCTCCCGCGGAGCAGCAGGCAATGGCTGGTCGTACCACCCGAACTCGCCATGGCTTCGCTGCGCTCTGCGGTGCATCGACATTTCCGGCGCTACGGCTTCGAATATATTGACGTGACGCGAGCGCAGATCCGACCTCTGCTATTACGCTGTCGCTTTGGGAATGGAATGATGAGAATTCCTGCTCTTTCTTTGTAGTTATGCCTTGAGGGAACCCTCCTCTCACACTTGTGACTGATGGCTGCTCTCCCACACGAGTCAGATTCACAGATTCACAAGAGTCAACTTCAAGGTTGCCCAGTTGAGGTCTACCTGGTCCGACAACAAGTATTAGCGAGTATAATAAGAGTGCATTTTAATACGGTTAGATGCGATTTCGTACCTTTCCGACAGGTTCTTGTTAGAATATTTTCCTAGACTTTATAGCAATACGCGTGTGACCATGACTTGAGAACAGAATGTTTGACTTGGAAAACAACAGTAGAAGAAAACGGCATCTACTTGCAGAAAACACACACGTGCACACTAATTCAAAGACATTTCCTCTAAAACAGGCACCCAGGTTGCAAGACATTCTACCTCCTGCCTAGAAATGTATAATCTGCATTACAATCAGGGTCTCTAAGGGTACACTCAACCACTAATTGATTGTGTCAAATTCTATCAAGCACAGCTCCATCTGATGTCCTCTGAGAAGCAAGCCAGTGGAGTATGGACAGGCAGCATGCCATCCATGCCCACCCCGGCATGGACTGGCAGTGCACCAAACAGGCAGAGAGGAAGGCTGGGCCATGAGCATTGCTTCGCCCAAGACGTGCGGGTGCCCTACTAGGGACTGGCTGTGCTCACCCCCACCTCCATCAAATGACAACAACTGCTGGCCAGACAGTGTTGTCACTTGACGGGGGTGGAAGGGGACACAACCAGTCCGGTTTGGCCCGGAATCGACTGCTTAGCCCAATGCTCATGACTTCAGCTCCTCTCGTGCACTGGCCACACACCACAGCCACCTCCCACAGCCATGCTTGCCGCGCATGAACGCACCTGCAGGAGCGCAATAGACACATATTAGTACAGGCTCTTACAGAACAAAAGCAGTTAACAAAAAGAATAAGGAGATAACTACTGGAAAATATAAACCATGCAAATGAGAATGGGAGGACCAAGGCAAGGGCTGGGACTTATCTGTGGTTGAGGAGCTTGAAATGTGGAGCTGTGCACACGGCCTTGAGCCTTGAGGCGCCTCCCATAGCTTCACCCCCTCTTGTGCACTGGTCACACGCCACAGCCACCCACTGAGACTGCCATGCTTGCTGCCCATGAAGAAACCTGCAGGCAGAGGAGCACAAGGGAGACACGAATTAGTCCAGGCTCTTACAAGAAAAGGAAAAGGCAGCATGCATGAAAGAAAATAAACAAACAAAAAACGAAGTAACAAACATAAAAACGAGGAGCTAAGTACTGCAAAACAAAAACATGAGAATCAGAAAAGGAGGGCGAAGGTTAAGGGCTGAAACTTATCTGAGGTTGCGGAGTATGGACTAGGGAGCGGTGCTTGAGCGTTGAGGCGCCTCAGCAGGCTATGGATCTTGGGCATGCTGGAGTGTTCTCGGGGGCCCATGGCGTGCAGATGGCGCTTGGAGAACCTGCCATGAGGCGAAATAAAACAAGTCAGTCAATGGCGAGTTGTATCACAACTTGAAAAAGGAAACAAAGAATCAACAAGCTTGGAGTTAGCAGTGAAGGAGCGTTGGAGCGAGAAAGCAAGGGACGAGGCTGGGGTTGACAACTTATCTTGCCATGGTTGTTGAGCCTTGAGGCGCCTCAGCAGGCCATGGTGCTCCCATGGATCTTGATTCTTGGGCAGGCTGAAATCCCTTGGTGAAGCAACCTGCCAAGTGAAGCCAGGAGATCCGAGTTAGAAAGGCAAGTCAATGAAGGAAAACGTAGCAACATGCAGCAAGCAGTTAAAACGAAGAGGACTGAAACGAGACTTACTGTCAGTGGAGAGAGAGGAGGCACCTGCCAGGTGCTGTTGGCAGGTACGTTCACCACGCCTTGGAGCTTAACAATGTGGTGCTCCTCTGAGACCATGTGGAGCGTGGCATAAGGGCCTTATATAGAACCTGCAAGGAGATCAAGGAACTAGGTTAGTGAACATCATTAAAGTAATCATGCAGAAACGAACGGTGCTGCAAGTGCGGTGCAAGTGTGTGCTGCCTACAGAGCCAATACCAACCAAAAAACCTTAGGGGAACCTTTACCACCTCAACCTTAACCAAACTTGAACCTTTACCATACCTCAACCTGAATCAAGGGGGGTGGCTCTGAGGAGTGTGAAGGGTGGGTTGATACTTTCAACCTTCACTCGTGGAGCTGCTCCTCTGTTGGCCGCCATGAAGGATGGAAGGCCGCCAAAGGATGTTGCTCTTCTGAAGTCCTTTGAAGAGCGCCGTAGAACCCCAGATAGAACCTGCAAGTAGGGAAATAAACAAGAATGAGTAAAGGTCGGGCAAGAAAACATGCAAAACGAAAAGAAGCGTGGAAAAATACCGAGCCAAATACCAACAAAAAAAACCTTCAGGGGAACCTTAACCAAAACCTCGACCTGTACCTAACCTCAACCAGGGGGGGTGGCTCTGAGTGTAAAGGGGGGTTTGATACGTTCAACCTTCATTTGTGGAGCTGCTCCTCTGTTGTCCGGCATGAAGCATGGAAGGCCGAAAAGGATGTTCCCTCTCTGAAGTCATCCGAAGAACGAAGTTAACCCTCAGATAGAACCTGCAAATATGGAAATAAATCAGAATCAGTAAAGGTCGGGCAGCAAAACATGCAAAACGAAAAGAAACGTAGAGAAAACAGAGCCAAATACCAACCGAAAAACCTTCAGGGGGACCTTTACCAACCTCAACCTGTACCTAACCTTAACCAGGGTGGTGGCTCAGGAGTATGGGGGGGAGGTTGATACGTTCAACCTTCTCATGGAGCTGCTCCTCTGTTGTCAGTCATGAAGCATGGAGAGCCCCGAAGGCCGTTGCTCCTATGAAATCTTCGGAAAAACGCCTAGCAGCCTCCATTAAAACCTGCAAGTATAAGCAAAAACAAAGTTAGTAGATGGAAGTGAAGAAAGTATGCTATGGAAATGAAGACTTAACAAACGTGAATGAAACATGTGCTGCCCCACCACAGAGCCAGTACCAACCAACACCTCCTGGGAACCTTTACCGAACCTGTACCTAACCTGTACCAAACCTTAACCAAGGGGAAGGCTCTGTGGTGAGTGTTGGCGGAAGGTGATACATTTAACCTTCACCGTCACAAGTCGGGGAGATCGATGTCGCTCCCACGGTCAGGTACAGCAACCAACCCACGGTGTCGACGGTTAGGGATCACGGTTTCGAAACTCCCACGGTCGAGGTTATGACGCTTCGCGATCCGACCATCGGATCCAGGCCTGGCTGAACGGTGTCAACGTGAGACGATGGTGATGGTGACGGTTCGAAACTGGTCGACCGATCGGAAGCCAAGCTCGACTAGCAAAATGCTTACAATGCTGCGGAAACTAACAGAAATCTCGAGAAGAAGAGCCGGAATACGAAGTGAACCTGAAGATGCGTGGGATGTCTCATTGCGGATCGTTGGGATGAGCTACTCGGTGAACACAGCCAACGGTTGGAAATAACGATGAACCGCCAAATTAACACCGTGATGGTGGTCCCAAACGTGACACCGTGGACTATGGTGGATCATAACGATTCGCCGACAACAACATGATTGGACCGCAAAATTAACCCCAACGTCTGATTGGACCGCCAAATTAACCCCAACGTTTGATTGGACCGCATAGTGTGCAACGAAAACACTATCCTCTGTACTCAATTTGGGACACCTTATGCTGTTTCAACGGCCAGACAAAAAACACGGGTGGAAACACGAAAATCGAGGGTCTAGTGACGTGGCCTATAAAACTTCCGCTAACTCAACCGCCGCGATCCGTTTCCCGAAGCGTGCTACTGAATTGAGCCGCTCTAGCGCGTGGGAGGCGGCTGTTGGCAGAAGCGAAGGGAGGGAACTCGAGATCTGTCTGGTTTGGTTCTGACAGAAGCAATGGAGGAGCTGCGAAACCCATCATAGGCCACAAAGAGAAGCCAGGGTTTGGTCTGGCGAATTAGCGAGCTTACGGGTAACTTCTGCTGTTGCCGTTCCTCAGTGGCATTCGGAAACTGGGTTTCGCCAAACCGTGGGTTGTAGTCGGAGGTCGAGTTGAGTTGAGCGGTGTCGTCATGGTTCGCGAAAGCTTGTCGCGCATTGTGGTGACGGCGAAGTGCTTCGTCATTCTCTGATTGTATGGTGGGTGGGGGAACATGGAGGGATGTCGGATGGGTGACGGAGGGTCCAATCTGTTTGAGCACGGTTCGGAAACTTTTAGCGGGTTTGCAGTTCCCTGGGAAGTCCATCTTCACATTCCACACTTACGGGGTTGTACCTCACGTTTGTCCGCAGAACATCAGTCAGTGCGGTTCAGTAAGTGTTTACGAGGTAGTGAGCGGTACGTTAGGCTAACCACTAGCACCGTAAAGCACCAGCCACAACCGTTGTTGAGTGAACCAGAATCACATTTTCCGAAAGCACACTTACGTTTTCCCCCGAAAATCCTCTTCGCATCGCAAGGCAATAAGTGGTTCGAATCTGGTCCCCATTCGCAGGTCCCCCCATGGCACACATCATTCCATACAAGTACTAGTACCAGTCCCCAGAGTCCCCCGTCCCGACTTCACCTTCTGACTGACACCTCGCGGCTGTCACACCAGATTTCGGCGCGAGAGGGCCCCACCATGCGATACCGCCGTGCGACATTCTGCCAGTCGCCGCAAATTGTTAAGGAATCACATCGCAATTAGCAGCATGCAGCGACGCCTGCCTGTGCTCATGCTGCTGCTGTTTCTGGCACTTCTGCCTAGCGAATTGCCGTCTCATGCTTCCGCGCTGCCGCGCACGTGCGGAGTGGCGGAGCAGGGGGAGGCTGCAGCTGGCGGAGAGGCGGGAAATTCCGGCGCAAGCGCAGGGATTGCGCACGTGTGCGATGCGCGCGAGGCGGGAATGCCGGGGAAGGAGGACGGCGCAGGGGACGATGAAGGCGGAGATAGTGAAGCGGTAGAGAGCGATTTAAAGGAGTATCTTGACACCTTGGACGAGGCAGAGCGGCAGGTGCGTGCTGCGTGACACTGCGGAGAATTTTGGGGGACGGGAATTTGAGCGCCAGGCGCGCTGCTGTCCCCGCGTGCTCCTTATCCGTCGCAACGCACGTTTCCGCTCGCGTCGCTGATTCCCCTCCTTTCTCACTCTTCCCTTCCCGCACCTTCTCCCCCTCCCCCTCTTTCCGCCGCTTCTCCCCGCGGAGCCGTGGGCGCAGATGGAGGCGGGGGAATGGGCGCAGGCGGAGGAGCTGTTCTCGCGCGTGGCGCACGTGGGGGAGGGGAGGGGGAGCGCGGATTCAACAGCGGAGAGCGCAGGGGCGTCGGGGGGAAAGGGGGAGTTGGCAGTGCGGGAGCGGATGCTGCAGGGGCGGGGGTGGGCGCGCACCCTGATGCAGTCATACGCGCTGGCGGAGAGAGACCTCCGCGAGGTGATGGGGGAGGAAGTGGGGAAGCGGTGCCGCGAAATGGAGGGGGAGGGAGGGAAGAGGATGGGGAGAGGGAGGCAGGGAAGGGAAGCAGGGAAGTTGGGAAAACGAGGGAGATAGCGGGGAGGGGTGTGATGAGGCGAGGCGAGGGTAGATTACGTGCATGAGAGTTGCTACTCTGCTGCAACAACTGACTGACCCATACTTCCATTGTATGCATCGCATCCCGTGCGGCGTGCGCCGTGCGCTTGGTTCCCTCCCCAGGGCGTGCGCAGGTTCCCAGGCAACGTGCGCATGTGGGAGTGCCTGGGGTCGCTGCACTTCGACATGGGCCTCATGCCGCAGGTGGGGTGGGGGCCCACGTGCGCGTGTGTCTTTTTGTGTGCGAGGGGGAGTGCGGCGTGTGATAGTGAACGTGAGAGGTATGAAGAATCGGGTAAATGTCTGGTGATGAGGGAGGGAGCGGTGAATCGGACGAGATAGCTTCACGGAAGGAGAAACCTATCTGGTCCATCCATTCTACTCAATTCGTGCTGCCCTGACAACATGTGCTGTGTGCAGGCATACGACGACTTCTCACAAGTGCTCGCCCTGTACCCCAACCACATCGATGCTCTCCGATGGCGAGGCAAGCTGCTCCCCCCAATCTCTCCCTCACCCCTCGCACCATCACCCTCCCCTCTTCCCCCTCGTCCAACCACGACCACCACTGCAGCACGCCGTTCTCTCTGTCACACTACACCACATCCCTCGTGGCCCTCCATCACATTCACTTCTAGCACGTCTCACAGCACTTCTTCACCCACCATACATGTGGTTGCCCCTCTCCCCTCCCATCGCCCCATCTCTCCCCACCCCAACCCTCCCCACCCCTCTTTACGCCATCCTCCCATATTTCTTCGCATACCATATTTGCCTCCCCTGCCCGCCCCCGCCCCCGGCCCCTCTTCTCCCCCCCGCCTGCAGGGCTAGCAGCGCACCGGCTGAGGCGGCACCCAGAGGCCATAGCGGACCTGAGAGCTGTGCTGCGCGCCGAGCCCATGGACTCCTTCCTCCTCAAAACCGTGGTACGTCTCCGCCTCCCTCTCTCCCTCTCTCCGTCCCTCCCTGCTCCCTGCCTGCTCCCTGCCTGCTCACTGCCTGCTCCCTGCCTGCCGTGCATGTGGCCATGTGTGTGTGTGCGTGTACGGCTGCCACAAAAGCTTCAGCGCTCGCTCTGCATGGCAGAGGTCACAATGCTTCCTCCCCTGCTTGCCCCATTGCAACATCAACAAATCCATCCCGCACCCTTACCCTCTCCTCCCTCCCTCGCTCTCCCGCACCCCATCCCTCCAATTCCCCCCCCCCCCCTCATCCCGGGGGCACAGGCCCTATCATACACGTGCATGGGGCAGTACCGCGAGTCGCTGCCGGTGTGGCAGGAGGCGGTGGAGCGGCATGCGGGCATGGCGGAGATGTGGGAGGAGAAGGGCAGCGTGCACCGCATTCTCGGCGAGGACGCCCCCGCCATGCTCTGCCTGCTCACCGCCCTGCGCCTCCGCAGGTGGGGCGCGGTTGGAGGGCGAGGTGGGAGGGGAAAGGGGAGGGCGATGGGGAGGGTGAGATGGTAGAGAGGGGGGGAGGCTAGTGCAAGGTAGCAGGTGACGAGAGGTGGGTCTGGCGTGTCAGTTGGCATGGGTGGGCGTGCAGCACACTGCATGCAGTGCAGGAGTAACTTTCATGTGCGGCTGCCAGTTTCGTTGTTGTGCGGCTTCCCATTTGCGTCCTCCCCTTTCGAATTCCCGGCCCCCTGCTTCTCACCTTGCATGGTCTCCTTTCACCCTGCACGCCACACTCTGTACTACACCTCCTCGCAAGTACCTCCTCCCGCTTCATGCTCCCTGCCCTCCCTCTCTCTACCCGTGCCATTGCGAGCTCACTTGTCCCCGCCATGCCATCTGTTCCCGTGCCATGCATGGCAGCTCACTGGCAGCGTATCGCAACATAGTGGCACTCAGGAGAGGCCTGGGCGACTACAGGTGGGGCACCGGGACCTCCTGCTGCTGTTGCTGTCAACCTTGGGCTTGTCCCATGCTTGCTGCTGCTGCTGCTGCTGCTGCTGCTGCTGCTGCTGCTGATGCTGATGCTGATGCTGACGCTGACGCTGACGCTGACGCTGACGCTGTTGCTGATGCTGCTGCTGTTGCTGATGCTGATGCTGATGCTGATGCTGATGCTGATGCTGATGCTGATGCTGATGCTATTGCTGATGCTGATGCTGTTGCTGATGCTGATGCTGATGCTGACGCTGACGCTGACGCTGTTGCTGATGCTGTTGCTGATGCTGATGCTGATGCTGATGCTGATGCTATTGCTGATGCTGATGCTGATGCTGATGCTGTTGCTGATGCTGATGCTGATGCTGATGCTGATGCTGATGCTGATGCTGATGCTGCTGCTGATGCTGTTGCTGATGCTGATGCTGATGCTGATGCTGATGCTGATGCTGATGCTGATGCTGACGCTGACGCTGACGCTGACGCTGACGCTGTTGCTGTTGCTGATGCTGATGCTGATGCTGATGCTGATGCTGATGCTATTGCTGATGCTATTGCTGATGCTGATGCTGATGCTGATGCTGATGCTGATGCTGACGCTGACGCTGACGCTGACGCTGACGCTGACGCTGACGCTGACGCTGTTGCTGATGCTGTTGCTGTTGCTGATGCTGATGCTGATGCTGATGCTGATGCTATTGCTGATGCTGATGCTGTTGCTGATGCTGATGCTGATGCTGACGCTGACGCTGACGCTGACGCTGATGCTGTTGCTGATGCTGATGCTGATGCTGATGCTGATGCTGATGCTGATGCTGATGCTATTGCTGATGCTGATGCTGATGCTGATGCTGACGCTGACGCTGACGCTGTTGCTGATGCTGTTGCTGATGCTGATGCTGATGCTGATGCTGATGCTGATGCTGATGCTGATGCTATTGCTGATGCTGATGCTGATGCTGTTGCTGATGCTGATGCTGATGCTGATGCTGATGCTGATGCTGATGCTGCTGCTGATGCTGTTGCTGATGCTGATGCTGATGCTGATGCTGATGCTGATGCTGATGCTGATGCTATTGCTGATGCTGATGCTGATGCTGATGCTGTTGCTGATGCTGATGCTGATGCTGATGCTGATGCTGATGCTGCTGCTGATGCTGTTGCTGACGCTGACGCTGACGCTGACGCTGTTGCTGTTGCTGATGCTGATGCTGATGCTGATGCTGATGCTGATGCTGATGCTATTGCTGATGCTATTGCTGATGCTGATGCTGATGCTGATGCTGATGCTGATGCTGACGCTGACGCTGACGCTGACGCTGACGCTGACGCTGACGCTGACGCTGTTGCTGATGCTGTTGCTGTTGCTGATGCTGATGCTGATGCTGATGCTGATGCTGATGCTGATGCTGATGCTATTGCTGATGCTGATGCTGATGCTGATGCTGATGCTGACGCTGACGCTGACGCTGATGCTGTTGCTGATGCTGATGCTGATGCTGATGCTGATGCTGATGCTATTGCTGATGCTGATGCTGATGCTGACGCTGACGCTGACGCTGTTGCTGATGCTGTTGCTGATGCTGATGCTGATGCTGATGCTGATGCTGATGCTGATGCTGATGCTATTGCTGATGCTGATGCTGATGCTGATGCTGATGCTGTTGCTGATGCTGATGCTGATGCTGATGCTGATGCTGATGCTGATGCTGATGCTGATGCTGATGCTGCTGCTGATGCTGTTGCTGATGCTGATGCTGATGCTGATGCTGATGCTGATGCTGATGCTGATGCTATTGCTGATGCTGATGCTGATGCTGTTGCTGATGCTGATGCTGATGCTGATGCTGATGCTGATGCTGCTGCTGATGCTGTTGCTGATGCTGATGCTGATGCTGATGCTGATGCTGATGCTGATGCTGATGTTGATGCTGATGCTGATGCTGATGCTGATGCTGATGCTGATGCTGATGCTGATGCTGATGCTGATGCTGATGCTGCTGCTGATGCTGTTGCTGATGCTGATGCTGATGCTGATGCTGATGCTGATGCTGATGCTGATGCTGATGCTATTGCTGATGCTGATGCTGATGCTGATGCTGTTGCTGATGCTGATGCTGATGCTGATGCTGATGCTGATGCTGATGCTGCTGCTGATGCTGTTGCTGATGCTGATGCTGATGCTGATGCTGATGCTGATGCTGATGCTGATGTTGATGCTGATGCTGATGCTGATGCTGATGCTGATGCTGTTGCTGATGCTGATGCTGATTCTGATGCTGATGCTCCTGTTAGTACTCTTTGGCTGCTACCGCTGCTGCTGCACTGCTCCTGCTGTTGTTGCTGTTGTTGTGAATCATCCGCCTCACTGCCAGCTCCATCAGTACCAAACTCAACCTCGCGCATTACCCCATGCTCACGCGTCCCTTCCACTCACAGGGGCGCCATAACATACGCGAGGGAGGGCGTGCAGGAGGAGGGAAGCGACCTGGAGCTGCTGCATGCGGAAGCCTGCGCACTGCACGCCATAGGGGACCTGCCTCAAGCTGTGAGTGCCATGCGCGTGTTATGTGCTGTGCTGTGCTGTGCTGTGCTGTGTGCTGTGTAGTGTGTGCTACACCGCAGCAGCACCTCAGTCATGCCTGGCTTTTAGAAGAGGCAACGTGAGGGGAGGCGGCCATGTGCATTCACAATCATGACAATTGAAACGTGTGTACCATGCATGCATGTGTGGGCATGTGCATGAGTGCATACATGCATGTGTGTGCGGGTGTGTGGGTGAGTTGGTGTGTGTGTGTGTGTGTGTGTGTGTGTGTGTGTGTGTGTGTGTGTGTGTGTGTGTGTGTGTGTGTGCGCGCGCGCGTGTGTGTTCCCCCTGTGTGCCTGCCAGCACGCCAAGTACACGCATCTCACCATGCAGCATCCCAGCAGTGACAAGGAAGCTTCCTTCCACATCACTGCCTTCTACCAGGTCAGCCCGCCCTCTCCCCTCCCTCTCTTCTCACATCATTACGCACTGACTCATACCCAAACACACAACCCCACACCCAACTACACCCTCTCCCACACCCACATACACACACAGCCACAGTTACCTGTCTTAAAGCCTGTGCCGCACACAGTCCCACCTTCCCTGCGTTGCTAGTACCCTCAGCTGCGATGCTAGCACGGTATCCCGATATCCCGGTTTCCCAGTTCCCGGTTTCCCGGTTTCACGGTTTCCTGGTATCCCGGTATCCCGGTTTCCCGGTATCCCGGTATCCCGGTATCCCGGTATCCCAGTATCCCGGTATCCCGGTTTCCCGGTATCCCGGTATCCCGGTTTCTCGGTATCCCGGTATCCCGGTATCCCGGTATCCCGGTATCCCGGTATCCCGGTATCCCGGTTTCCCGGTATCCCGGTATCCCGGTTTCTCGGTATCCCGGTATCCCGGTTTCTCGGTATCCCGGTATCCCGGTATCCCCGTTTCCCGGTATCCCGGTATCCCCGTTTCCCGGTTTCCTGGTATCCCGGTATCCCGGTATCCCGGTATCCCGGTATCCCGGTATCCCGATATCCCGATCTCCCGGTTTCCCCGTATCCCGGTATCCCGGTTTCCCGGTTTCCCGGTTTCCCAGTATCCCGGTATCCCGGTATCCCGGTATCCCGGCATCCCGGCATCCCGGCATCCCGGTATCCCGGTATCCCGGTTTCCCGGTTTCCCGGTTTCCCGGTTTCCCGGTTTCCCGGTATCCCGGTATCCCGGTATCCCGGTTTCCCGGTTTCCCGGTATCCCGGTTTCCCGGTTTCCCGGTATCCCGGTATCCCGGTATCCCGGTATCCCGGTATCCCGGTATCCCGGTATCCCGGTATCCCGGTATCCCGGTATCCCGGTTTCCCGGTATCCCGGTATCCCGGTATCCCGGTTTCCCGGTTTCCCGGTATCCCGGTATCCCGGTATCCCGGTATCCCGGTATCCCGGTATCCCGGAATCCCGGTATCCCGGTATCCCGGTATCCCGGTTTCCCGGTATTCCGGTATCCCGGTATCCCGGTATCCCGGTATCGCGGTATCCCGGTATCCCGGTTTCCCGGTTTCCCGGTATCCCGGTATCCCGGTTTCCCGGTTTCCCGGTTTCCCGGTTTCCCGGTTTCCCGGTATCCCGGTATCCCGGTATCCCGGTATCCCGGTATCCCGGTTTCCCGGTATCCCGGTTTCCCGGTATCCCGGTATCCCGGTATCCCGGTATCCCGGTTTCCCGGTATCCCGGTATCCCGGTTTCTCGGTATCCCGGTATCCCGGTATCCCGGTATCCCGGTATCCCGGTATCCCGGTATCCCGGTTTCCCGGTATCCCGGTATCCCGGTTTCTCGGTATCCCGGTATCCTGGTTTCTTGGTATCCCGGTATCCCGGTATCCCGGTATCCCCGTTTCCCGGTATCCCGGTATCCCCGTTTCCCGGTATCCCGGTATCCCGGTATCCCGGTATCCCGGTATCCCGGTATCCCGGTATCCCGATATCCCCGTATCCCGGTTTCCCGGTATCCCGGTATCCCGGTATCCCGGTATCCCGGTTTCCCGGTATCCCGGTATCCCGGTATCCCGGTTTCCCGGTATCCCGGTATCCCGGTATCCCGGTATTCCGGTTTCCCGGTTTCCCGGTTTCCCGGTTTCCCGGTACCCCGGTTTCCCGGTATCCCGGTATCCCGGTATCCCGGTATCCCGGTATCCCTGTTTCCCGGTTTCCTGGTATCCCGGTATCCCGGTATCCCGGTTTCCCGGTATCCCGGTATCCCGGTATCCCGGTTTCCCGGTATCCCGGTATCCCGGTTTCCCGGTATCCCGGTTTCCCGGTTTCCCGGTATCCCGGTTTCCCGGTTTCCCGGTATCCCGGTATCCCGGTTTCCCGGTATCCCGGTATCCCGGTATCCCGGTATCCCGGTATCCCGGTATCCCGGTATCCCGGTATCC